TTGAACTCAGAGCTGGGAACTATCACTAAACCCTTTTGCTCAAGGCTAGCCCTCTACCTCTTTGAGCCAGAGCACCACTTGCAGTTTTCTGGTGGTTAATTGGAAACAAGAGTCTCATGGACTTTCCTGCCCATACTGTCTTTGAACCACGATCCTCAGATCTCAGCCTCCTAGGTAGCTAAGATTATAGGTGTGAGCCACCAGTGCCAGTCTGGGTTCAAAGATCTTTTCAACACCTGCTCATGCTGGGTCTTTGAAACAAGGATCGTATGGTTCTCCAATAAAGACTCACAATTTGGCCTCTTAAATGATGGCTTCTCTGTCATGACTGAGTTTGCTTACAAGAGGGAGGGTAGCAAACTAAGTTTGTGGAGGCAGAAGTTTTGTGTACCCCTTCTTTTGGACAGTCATTTAATGATATACTTTAGAAGGGCTTATGCATACCCCTTATTTATAGCCAATTTGGGTAGAGGTATCAGTAATATGAGGATTAATTGATGTGACTGGCATCAGAAATGAGGGGCAAGCTGGTAGAACTGAGCTCTTTGCCTTATAGAATTTAAAGTTAACTTCAGCTAGTGTCAGAATTGAACTGAATCACAGGACACCTGGTTAGTGAGAGGTGAGGAATTTGTTGCTATGGGAAAACCTCCCACACATTTTCTGTCAGGAGTGTTCTGTGAGAGTAAAGGAAAACAGAATTTATTTTCCTTAGTTTATAGACCTCTTTTATAATCCCTGTTCTTTGTCACTAATTAGGATAACTTATTGTTTGAAAAACAAAATGTCCATTGCCTCATCCAGCTTCTGGTGGCTGCTGGTGTTCTTTGGTTTGGGCTACTTCGCTTCTCTCTCTACCTTTATGGTCACCTGGCTTCTATTTGTCTCTGTCAGATATCTCTCTGCCTCTTATAACAACACTTTTTTATTACATGGAAGCCCAACCCAGACAATCCAAGACAATTTCCTCATCTTTAAAATCCTTTTAACTCCTTTTGACAGGCTACAGCAGAGAAAGTCTGTTGGATGAGTGAATGAATGATCAGCGCCTTGGAACTCAGGAAATCTCCCTAAAGAAGCAGACACACATCTCACCTCTGAGTTTTAGCTACTTGTAATGGAACCTTCCCTGAAAATTCAGTGTCTACTAGCTGTGCCTAACACCAAGAGAAGACTTTTTTTTTTCCTCTGCTTGGGAGACTTTCCTTAAAACTTCTCATAAGCAGCCTAGAAAAGGCACAAGAGATGATACGTACACTGTAGGAATAATCTCAGTGCAGAATAGAATGGAGGCCTGAGCCTCTCTTCTTTTGGTCAAACAATCCAGGGGGGTATTTTGTTAACTTTTCAAGTCTACCCCACTCCACCCCCCGCCCCGTGTTGCCTACAGCAGTGATTTCAATGATAGACATGTTTTTGGGTTGTTGTTGTTGTTGTTGTTTTTGGTAGCTTTTTGTCAGTCTCTACTTTTGGGAAATGCTAAACAAAGACAGAAGGTTCCCAGCAGAGTATCCTTGGGAAAGCCACAAAAATGCTGTATAGGGGTCAACATGGCAAATGTCCAAGCTCAATAGGCACGTTCATAGGATGGCTTCTGTGCCAATTTAGCAAAGTACCTCCTGTTCTTTAAACACCTTCCCAACCATTACCCACTTCAACCATGGAAGAGTCAAGGGCAAATAGGATGGGAAAACAAGAAGAAGCAGGACAGAACAATTTACTACATTTTCATCCTCTTTTATCAGGGTTCTAGTTTTAAGCAGGGAAACTGCCTTCATTCCTTTTGACACAATACTTAAAATTGTCAACACATTTGTTCTAGTCACTTAAGAGGCAAATTTGTTCATTAATAGGCATCATGGTACTTTAATTATGCTTTTAAGTACTGCTAGTGATAATACTCTCTGAAGAAGTAATTGATCATTGACTTACATGTCTATAAAATAGAATCCTACTTCACAATATCTTTGCAGAATGAAGCAAGCTATCTCAAGAAAATTTCCTGATAGCTGATGGATGACCCAACAATGGGCTCCTCTACTGCAAGCTTCCTGAGGACAGGGATGACAGAGTGCTCAATTTTATTCCCCCAGATCTTAGCAGAGTGCTTGAGACACAGTAGGCACTGAGTGGATTACTGAATGGAAGAGTGGAGAGGTTCTAGAATACCACCCTCCATCATTTTAGGTGATGCTGCCCCCTCAGGACTTTCCATTGTTGTTGGCAAGCAAAGCTGTTAAATGCCAGCACCTGCATCTGTTTGGCCATGTACTTTCTCTAAATTGGAGTGCAGAGAATTAGGGCCTCCTGAAAGCACCCGTCACCAATGAATGCTGGGAGTTGTGACTAAATATCTGGCTTTGTCACCCTTGGATAGGATAATTATGAAGTATGTGTTCTGCCCAAGGTGGCCAGCTCTAGTGACTCAACAGTGGTAATTTTCTTGATACCTTGATAACAGTCCTTTACTGGCTTTTTTTTTTCATTTTTCTTTTCTTTCTTTTTTTTTTTGTCGGTCGTGGGGCCTGAACTCTGGGCCTGGGCACTGTTCCTCAGCTCTTCAGCTCAAAGTTAGTGTTCTACCACTTGAGCCACAGCTCCACTTGCATTTTTTTTCTGCTTATGTGATGCTGAGGAATCGAACTCAGGGCCTCATGCATGCAAGGCAAGTACTCTACTACTGAGCCACCTTCCCAACCCCTTTACTGGCTTTCTTACCCCCCTCCCCACACGCATGCATGTTTATACATACAGATGGATGATGAGTGGTGGACAGGTGGATGAGTAGATGAATAGATGTATATTTTGGCAGTACTGGGGATTGAGCACAGGGCCTTGAGCTTTCTAACACTTTACCACTTGAGACATGCCTCTACTTCTTTTGCTCCTTTTTTTCTTTGTTTTTGGCTAGAGATGTATGATTTTGTCCAGGCTGGTCTCCTACCTCTGCCTCCAGAGTAGCTGAGATTACTGGAACGTGCCACCATACCCAGCTCCTAAACTACTTACACACAAATCCCTAACTCATAGTTAGATTCTAGGGAAACCTATACTAAGAATTTCCTGGCTTAGATTTGTAAGTGACATGTGAAGCTCTCTAAAGCAAGGCCCTTTTCTCATAGCATTCACCCCTCTTCCTGATTGGTTTCAGATCTTCATTGTAATCTGTAAATTATTTGGCCTAACTCACTTTCATTCTGAACTCTGCCCAGCCACAGCTGCCTCTGTGCTGCCTGTCATCTCCTTTAGTGGGCTGTTTCTAGACCTAGCTGTGACTACAGGAGCAGAAATCCTTCATGTTTTCTTGCTAAGGAATCATTATCCTAGTTTGATTTGCAGACTAGTGGGAAGATTACAACTGAATGATGTTAATTTTTCCTTTAGTTCTTTCAGGAATGAATTCTGGAAGATTCCCTGTGTATTTGCTGTGGGTCAGTGTGCTCTGTTCGTTCAATGACATGGAGAACAGTACAAGATGGTATTTTGCCATAACTGGAAAATAATGGTGGCTTACAAGCAGAAGCTCTTAACACTCTTGTTAGTCATCTTGAAGCTGTCCCCAGGGTGGGAGGAAGTGCTTCAGTGGTCGCATTGAAGAAGAGGCCTAGAAATGGATGTTTTAGTGACTAAACTACTCCTTTTTTCAAAACCTGTTCTTCCAAGTTCTCTGACCATCTTGTACTACACCCCATTATTTACAAATGAACTGTTCTTGTCCCTAAGTTGGATTTTTTTTTAAGTAGGCAAAGAGAATTGCTTTGCTATCAAAGCATTCCACATTTTGGCTAGAGAATAGATACAGGACATAGATTGATTTCTGACTTTTTAAATTTATTTTTCTTTTCTGTAGTACTGAGCTTTGAATTCAAAGGCCTTAAGCAGGTGCTCTACCAGTTGAACCATCTTACCAGTCTCACTTTTTTTCATTGGTTATTTTCAGAATAAAACCTTGCTTTATGACCTGGCTGGTTTAGACTGCAGCCCTCCTGTTTGTGTGTCCCTTCATTAGTGCACCTGATCATTGTGCTTCCCTTATACATTGGGATAAAGGGCTTGCACATGTGTCATTGGTTAAGATGGGCTCTCGTGAACTTTTATGCCTGGGATGATCTCAAGCTCTGATCTATATCTGATCTGCACCTCCAAGTAGCCAGGATTATAGACTTGAGCCACCGAGTTTTTAAAAGATAGTCAAAGCAACTATTTAAGAGTCTTCTTCTAGATGTCAGGACTTGCTTTCTAAAATAGGTATTATTCTTCGCATGTGGCAGGTCAGAAACTTGAGACTAGAGAGGTCTAATAGCTAGAAAGTTGGGGTGCTGGGATTTAAGCCTGACCTTCACAAGTCACAGCCTCTTACACTCTCCTTACCCACCCATCCTACTTTTCCCCCAAGCCTGGCCATAGAATCTGACCTTTTCACTTTTGCCTCAATGGCTCCAACTCCTTCTTTTCTAGGCACTGCTTGTTATAAGGTGCTGTTTGTTCATTTGCATTTCAGTGGCTCACAGGATCATTGCTGAAGGTCTATTTGTGCAAGGTCTGAAACCTTTGTCTTAATAACTTCTGAGGTATCTATATTCCTACCTTCTCCAAACTCACTCCTTTTTTCACCTTGGTATATCTGTAGGAGACAAGAAACCCAGCTGCTCTCTTGAAAGGGGAGGGCACTTTTCTGAGGATGCCACCTTGTATAATATGGAAATAGTGGTCTTTATCTCCAAGTGCTGACTAGGTCTCCAAGATGACAAGTTTGTACCCACGTCTTAGGTAACCAGTTCACACCCTCTCCCACATGTTTCCCTGAACTAAACAAGAAATATAAAGTTGTTTTTCTCTGTTTTTTGGGGGGGGGAGGGGATAAGGGGACAATACTGGAGCTTGGACTCAAGGCCTTATGCTTACTAGATAAGCATTCTACCACTTGGCCATACCCCTATCCCTTCTTTTTAGTTTTCTTGACATAGCATCTTGGGCATTTTGCCTAGGCTAGCCTTGGACAATAATCCTATATTCTCCTTCACCGACCATAGCTGGGATTATAGGAATGCACTACTACTACTACAAGTCTTTGAAGTTGTTTCTCTAGGACAGGTCTCAAGCTTTGTGTACTTCCTGTTACAGGACTGTGTGAAAAATCTGCAAGCAGGTTCTTGATTTGGTTGAGGAAATTCTTTATTTTTGAAGATAGCTTAGCATGAACTCATGAGCATGTTTTTGGATCATCCAGAGCCTACCTATAGTGATTTCTAAGCAAGAGAATCAGTGTGGCAACAAGTAGGCCAATCACAAATAAATCCCAGTATGGTCCAACGGTGTTGTCCAATTTCATCCATTTCCATCTCATTGTAAACTGTTGACAAGTGACATTTAGGTTAAAAAAGTCCTAAATTACCACTGTATTTAGATCCATCATCTCCTTCTTGTCCACCTCCCACCTCTCGCAGATCTCATCAATTCCCCTTTGCTTCCTGCAGTCTTAGAAGAGACAGTCTTTTCTGGCTTCCAGCTCTTAGAGAGGGCTCAGCTAGCTACCATTGGAATATCCTCAAAGATTTATAAAATTTAATTTCAAATTCTTTTCAAATTGTAGCTCTTTGTGGTACCATTTGCTACCTACCATCTGCTTACCAGTCTGAGATTTTTGATGGCAATAGCTGTGTTTTGAACAATATATATAGCACATGTTATTTCACTTAAGGCTTTGAACATAGTTTGTGCTGAAAAAAAATATCTACCAAATGAATTCATTGGGTGTACTACAAAGTGCCAACACATACTCAATATAACAAGTAAAGCTGTTCTGCATGGTAAATATAAGTCTGAATGCTACTTGTCAAGGGAAAGCTATCCAAAAAATACTCTTATGATGGGCCTCATCATTTTGTCCCTAAGAATTGCTTATTGGAATTTCAGAACCTCAGGGCCTATTTGAAACACACTTACGTTAAAAAACAGGATGTCTCGGAGCAAATGCATTGTTTCCAGTTTCATAAGGGCAAAGAACACAGGTATGTGAGCATCTGGACTTGTTTGAGCAGCCATGTCATACAATCTCCTGGCCAAGTGGATGTCCTAGAAATAGAACAAGAGCCCATCCTCATTAGCTACAGGTTCTTGACAGATAAACAGAAGCCATTGTTAGAAATACTATAGTTTATATTTGGCAGAGTGGTCCCCTACAGATGTCTATGCTTTCATCTGTAGAACCTGCAGGTATATCATATGGCAAGGGGCTTTTACAAATGTAATTAAGATTATAGATCTTAAAACAGATTCTCCTACATCATCCAGGTGGACCCCATATCATTGTATGAGCCTTTAAACAGAATTATCTCTAGAACAAAGAAAGAAGAAAACCAAAGACTCTCAACTCACCATTGCTGGAAGCTGCCACAAGGGAAAAATGAGAAGAAATTCAAACAGCTAGCAAGGAAACAGAATCCTTGATCATACAACTTCAATTCAGCCAACCACCTGAATGAGCTTGAGAGCAGATTCTTCCCAGAGCCTCCAGTGAAGAATGCAACCTTGATTTTTGTCATGTGAGACCCTATACAGTCAAACCACCAAGACTTTTGATGTACAGAAACCATGAAGTAATAAATTATATGTTGTTTTAAGCAATTAAATTTGTTTTACAAAGAAACTAGGACAGGCCTTAAAAAGCTTTCTTGGATATCCTAGACCACCTCTTTATACTTGTGAATTCAATGAAAGGGTTAGAGATCACTAGATACTAAGAGCAGTTTCCTAAAACAAACACAAATGTAAGTGAAAGGATGATAATTTATTGTGTATAATGATCATCATCATATTTATCTTACCTGAAGTTATTAATTTGTCTCTAAGTCTTTGAAGACAAGGTCTTGTATTATTTTTTCATGAAAAGTTCCTACTATGTAATAGGGCTTCAGTAATATTTTATAGAATGAGAGAATATAATCTTTTGGCTCTTGGCTTGGAATTTGATTCCCCAAATAACATAATACTATATTGTCAGTGACTTGCTTTTGATATCATTAGATAATGGCCGAGAGAAATACTTTATTTTCACTTTGTATGGCTTATTGTGCTTGCTTTATTTTTGCTCTGTCAAACAGTGGTGAAAAGGCTAAGGTATTTTACTTGTAAAGGTTGAGGTGTTCTGAAAGTGTTTTGCTTGAGTGCCATGAATTACTTCAAAAGAAAGGGAAGAGGAGAAATGTTTCATGAACTGCCATCCAAATACGTTATTTTCTGTCTGCATCATCACCTAGGCCTTAACAGTTGTGAGCCCTCGAGGCCTATGCAAAACCTGTTTCTTGAGTAGTGTCTTCTGTCAGCATGTGTTCTGTCATTTCTTAAAAATTTCCATAGCTTTGAAGTCTGGTAAATAGATTTGTTGGAGAAAGAGAAATGCCTTTGCTTAAAATTTAGGAGACTGTTTGGAACAAATATTCCTGGAAACAGAGAAAATCAATGTTTAAAACTCTTAATTCTGGGGGCTGAGAAGGTGGCTCAGTGGTAGATCGCTTGCTTTGCATGCATGAGGCCTTGGGTTCGATTCTCCAGCACCACATAAGCAGAAAAAAAAAAGCCGGAAGTGGTGCTATGGCTTAAGTGGTAGAGCGCTAGCCTTGAGCTGAAAAGCTGAGGGACAGCGCCCAGGCCCAGAGTTCAGGCCCCACGACCGGACCCAAAAAAAAACCAAAACACCAAAAACCTCTTAATTCTAACATATTCTGTGGGTTGTCTTATGATAACACTCCACTGATTGTAACAGCTGTGTAGCCCCTCATGGGAAAGGCAGCTTGACTCAAACGGGACATGTAGGGTAAGTTAGCTTTGTCAATATCTCAGTCATTTTTTCTTAAATTGGTCATTCTGAGGTTACTCCTTGGCACAAGTGTGGCTAGTTCTATTACTAGGTAATAGAAAAAAACAAGAAGCACTACCAAAGTGGAATGAGCTTGCCCTCTACCCTATGGGCCTCAAATGTTGGAGTAGAGTAGAATGTGAAAAATCTTTCTTTAAAAATTTCCAGACAAATTTCAAACACTTCTGCCTAATTAGATCCGTTTATTGCCAAACTTTAGAAAAGATCACTCATACTTTGATCTTATTTAGTAAAAAGTGCCAAACTTTAGAAAAGATCACTCATACTTTGATCTTATTTAGTAAAAAGTTTAAATCAAGCTGGGTAAAATGGTTTACACCTGTAATCCCAGCTACTCTGAAAGTAGAGATTAGGATGATTGTAGTTTGAGACTCCACCATGTCAACAAGAATATCTGAGAATGATAGTGAAATCCTGTGAGCTCAGCCATGCAGGAGGTATACATAGAAGAACCATCGTCTAAAACTCATCTAAAAAAAAAAAAGGCCATACCTGAAAAATAACTAACACCAAAAAATTTGGACAAAATCTTTCAAACAACAGATGTCTTCTTGATAAGTAGTGTTCATTAAAGATGGCCAGGCCACAGTAAATGAGAAGCCCATTTCATAGTATAATCCTTATGTTTAACTTTTCTATGGTATATTAGCTAAATTCAGTGATAAGAGGGGTCTGTATAAATCAACCCTCAGACTATTTTTAAATAACCTATTCTAACTAAACTCTAACAAAAATGTCAGGTGTGCCACAGTACTGCTTAATATTCAAAACAGTTTCCTATAATTAAAAGATTCGGAACTGTTCGATTACACCATGCAAGTGTTTTACACTCCCAGATCTTTGAGTGTCGTAAAAAATTTCTTGAAGTGAGACAGATGTGCAAATGGAAAAGTAATTCTTAAAATAATGAAATTTTATGGTCTTCTATTGAATATGCCCTATGTAAATTAGAAGAAAATTTGAAATTATAGAACTGAATAACTGAGGAAATAAAGCCACTGATATTCTCACTATAGAGAAATAACTGCTGATATTAACACATTGTTCTAGCTTTTGTATATGTTCATTATACATTCTTAATTTAGGGATTTTTTTCACCTTACATAATGTTTTGTTGTCTGCTTTTTTATTTTAACCTGACAACACATTTTAAAACAAAATATGTGCTAAGGTAGTCTTATTGAATAATATATTTATTTATTATTTATTTACTTGTTTATTTTGTCAATTGTGGAGCTTGAACTCAGTGCCTGGGCAATGTCCCTGAGCTCTTTTGCTCAAGGCTAGCCCTCTTTCACTTTGGGCCCCAGTGCCACTTCCAGTTTTCTTAGGGTTAGTTGGAGATAAAAGTCTCATGGGAAGAAAGGTTGGACAAATGGGTTTGCATGGAATTGCAGAGCTTCTGCATGGCAAAGGACATAGCTAGCAAGATCAATAGAAAGCCCACAGATTGGAAGAAGATCTTCACTAGCCATACAATGGACAAGGGTCTCATATCTAAAATATACCTGGAACTCAAAAAATTAAATCCCCCAACAACAAATTCTCAAAGAAACAACTGCCCAATAAATAAGTGGGCTAAAGACTTAAAGGGAAACTTCTCTGAAGAGGAAAGAAGGATGGCCAATAGACACATGAAGAAATGCTCATCCTCTCTAGCCATAAAAGAAATGCAAATCAAAACGACATTGAGGTTCCACCTCCCCCAGTTAGAATGGCTATAATCAAAAACTCTTAATAACAACAGATGCTGGAGGGGATGTGGACAGAAGGGAACCTTATATTTCATTGTTGGTGGGAATGTAAACTTGTTCAACCACTTTGGAAAACAGTATGGAGATTCCTCAAAAGACTCCACACATAGAGCTCCCTTATGACCCAGCAATCCCACTTTTGGGCACTTACCCAAATGATCACAAACGAGACCATATTAAAGCCACCAGCACAACTATGTTTATTGCAGCATTATTTACCATAGCTAAGATATAGAACCAACCCAGATGCCCCTCAGTAGATGAATGGATCAAGAAAATGTGGTATATATACACAATGGAATTCTATGCCTCCATCAGAAAGAATGACATTGCCCCATTTGTTAGGAAATGGAAAGACTTAGAAAAAATTATATGAAGTGAAGTAAGCCAGGCCCAAAGAAACATAGGTCCCATGGTTTCTCTTATTTGTAATAACTAGTATATGTCTGAGCAAGCAGAAAAGGTCAGGTAAGTTGGTGTTAGGTGAAATGAACCCCAAGATAAGTATTCAAATGTTTTTGCTTTCATGCGATTGTTTCTAAGATATTTATAAGATGATTTCTTTGTTGCTTTGTATGTCTCTCCCCCACAGCATAACCCCTGCTTTCACTGTATTTGATGTTGGTATAATTTGTGGAGGGGGAAGGAAAAAACAAATCGGTTAAATAGGGATACAGGTGGACCCATTGCAACAATGAGATGTACAAATTGTTATGTCGAAAAATGAGCTTTACAACTTTGGGG